CCTGAGGTGGAAGATGCAGAGAGAATATACAGTCTCTTTGTGAACACAGCCTTTCAAAGACTCACCAGTCGGGAGGAGGGTGTGATGGCTTTGCCTGTTTTGGGCATACTGGCTGCATTCTGCCCCTTCTGACTCCACACAGGACGTGAGCCCGGGCTTCTCTAGCACTCAGGCACGTGTAGCTCTTTTGATGTGATGATTATCAAACAGCTTGTGAGTCTTCCGCAACACACGAGGGCTTTATTTCTGCTGCAGATATCCCAACACAAATATGAGTGCACCCGCTGCGTTGCAAAACTGCAGTGAGGACAGCTCTTCCCAGACACATGGCACGCATGGCGTGTGTTCCTGCTTTGAGTGCAGGACATTGGCAAAGCTTTAACCTTGCTGGCTGTGCTAACACTGGCACGGGTGCCCTATGTTGTGCCAGGACAGCATAGGAACCGTACATCTGATGCACCTCTCCAAAATGTCATCTGTGTGGTGCACTTGCTACTGTAAAATAGTGCCTGGGATTTGGGGAAATATGGCAATCTAGTGTGTGCACTAGTCTTCATGATTTCTGATCATCTCCCAAACATGAGATCTTGGGCATGTATCCCTATGGCGGGATGGGGCCCGTGTTCCCCACACAGTGTTGCCCAGACAGAGGCAGGCACAAACAGAGGGCTTGTTCAAAGAGGCTAATTTATTAAGGTCTGTGCACAGGGTAATGCTCCCATGGGGAACTGAAACTCTCCAAAAGCACGAGCAGTCTCTGTGCAAATGATCACAGGAGCCTCTGTCGCACACCTCCTTGCAACAGTGTCTTCAGAGGGATCAGGTGAGGTTCCCCAAAGCGTGCTTTTGCTCAATTTCTGGAACGTCCTTTCAGCGTCAGTCTAACAGGCTCCTGAGACGATCCTGCAGCTCGCTGAACTCGCGCAGTGCCTGAGCGTGGGTGTCCGGCTCCTGCGTCAGGTGCTGGAAGAGGTTAAGTGGCCTGCCTCTTCTGCAGGCCAGCGGCAGGGGGATCTCCTTGGGCACCCTCTCATTGCCTAGGAGGAAATGGTGAAGCTGTTTCTCCTCCAGGCAGTGGTGCAGATAGTCCAGAACATCATTCAGCCGCTCCAGGAGATGCTCCGGGCACCACTCTGATGGGGGAACCAGTGTCAGGAGGTGCATGGTGACTGTTTTCAGGTGGACTGAGGAAAGCACCGAGTCCTCCAGGAGGTAGGTGAGGAGCTGCAGACATGTCAGGTGGCAGCTGTCATTGGGGGCCTGCCTGTCCACAAATCTGAAGAACAGCAGGTCTTGCAGGGCACAGCTCTCCACCCACATTGTGCTGCTGGTGAGGTCGGCCTCTGCCTCCTCGCTGCCCAGGAAGACCTCCAAGTTGTCCTGCTGCACCCCCAGCATTAGCTCAATGTGTATGATCTTCCCAGTGTCGTATGTGAACTGGAGCTTGCAGAAACGGGAGGAGGGCAGCACCGTCAGCTGGCAGCTTTGTTCATCAGCAATCACGTCCCAGGCATTTCTCACACAGAGCTGGAACCAGCGGGTGGTTTTCTCCACGTCCAAGTAGATGCCAGTACAGAGGGTTTGCAGGAGTTCAGGGTGCTGATATCTGCGCAAGTGCCTCTGGGAGTGGTGCAGGAAGCAAAACACATCCCCCAGCAGCTGCTCCCGCTCGCACATGCACTCCAGGTTCACGCAGACACGGCCGTGCCTCGCCGGCAGGCCCCGTGTGGTGCCCAGGTTCAGCTGGAAGGAGTGCCCAGGTGGTGGCTTCAGGGGCACAAGTAGCTTGTAGACGGTGTCCTCCCCATGGTGGCTCCAGCCTTCAAAGGCACTGCCCACGCCGATGCACTGTTCCAGCCGTGGCAGGAAAGTTCTCAAAGAGATGATCTGGCAGGCCTGAAGGAGGTTGCCCACCAGCTCCTCCACCACCTTGCATGTGTGGGCCACGTCCTGCACTGGCCCCCAGAGGTGCTGCTCATAGAAGGTCTCCAGGGCCCTCCTGCCTGGGGAGTCCAGCTGCTGTTCAGGAGAGAGCCGGTGCGCAGCACCCACATCCTCCTGCTCCTCACCTTCCCCCTCCTCCTCACTGCTGGAGGAGCTCTCGTCACCGCTGCTGTCAGACTCGTCAAAGTCCTGCTCTGTGGCCATCCAGAAGAGCCTGAAGAGCAGCCCAAGGCCTCCAGCAAAGGCCGCAAACTTCCACATGTCCCACATGGTGAAGACCATGCCTTTCCTGAAAAGTCCACTCTGTGGCTCCTGCATCACCTCATCAAACTCCTGCTGCAGCTGAGTTACCTTCTGACTCAGCTGCTTCTCGTGCTGCTGCATCCGCTGTTGCGTGGCCAGATCCATGTGGTCACTGACCTTCAGCGGCTGCAGGACAATGCCCAGCATGGCCAGGACGAGCACAATACACCCAGCCATGGCCTAGAGGAGATAGGAGAGAAGCAGGTGAACCGGGCTGGGTGGGAGAGAGCTTGTGGATTGGGGGCAGGAGCTGCAGGCACAAAGGGGCAGGATGGGAGAGGGGGCAAGGGAGCTCAGAGGCAGCAAGGACAGGGGTTTGCAAGGGCTGCCTGAGCAGGGACCCCGGGCTGCCCCAGGGAAAGCGCTTGGGCCCTGGTGCCTGCAGGCTCAAAGAGGATGCAGGTCCCGGACACCGACGTTGTGGGGCCCATCCTGCCAACCCTCCCCTGAGGCCCAGCACCCTGGCCAGGCTTTACCCCAGGGGCAGGGGTGCAGAAAGGGCAAGTGCCACCAGATTGGGGAATCCCGAGGCCCCATGCCCCCACAGGAGCAGTGGCCCGCAGAGCTGCGGATGCCCAACACATCCCCAACATATCTCTGGGCACCCAGGCTCGCTGGGAGCCTCAGGCACCTCTGCCCCCAACCCTCAAAGCACCAATGTCTCTCACCGAACGTGCTCCTGTGTGCAGCTCAGCTCTTGCTCCAGTTGCTAGAAACTCCCAGAAGCTGGCGTTTCTGCCCCGGACCTCGTCCTGCCCAGCCTTCCTCCACTGCTGCACTCACGCTGCAGAGCATAGGCTGGCCCGGGCCGTACTGCTTGGGCCAAGCAGGGCTGCGGGGCCAACACCCCCTCCCTTTGTGACCTGTCCTCTGTGCTGTCATGGACAGGCTCCGCCTTGCAGGCATCAAACAACTCAGGGTCTCTGGGAAGGGCCAAAAGAGAGGAAGTCCTGCTCCCATGTCTCATGAGGGCTTTGATCCTTTTGAGCCTTGCAAACCTCCTTCCCTCTTCTCTTCTTGGATTTCTTCTGCTGAGGCAGGACAGAGGCAAGTCCTGAGAACGAAGCCTAACAACAAGAGCATCCCCAGTTAGAGCAGCAAATCTCCCATGGCTCCTTTCTCTTGGTGAAAACTTGCTCCCTGCAAGTGTAGGTGCGGGGACTGGAGAGGCCATGCTGGGGCCCTCGGCTTCGACAGGCTGCTGCCTGTGGGGCAGCTGCTCCACGGTTGCCAGGGTGTGTCCATCAGCCTGACCCGGGGCTGAAGGGACCTTGGTGAAGCGCTGGGGCCTCCTCCCATGCATGCTCATGGGTCCACACTCCCGGCACTTCCCAGGCCCCAAGATCTCCTGTGGGACGCTCATGGGGAGAGGACAGAGAGCAGGAGGCTCCCCTCTGCCTGGGGACACCTCCTCCCCTCCCTCCTCTCCCCCTCGGGGCCATATCCAGTTCAGCCACAGGCTAGGGCTCACTGGTCACTTCCCCCTAATTGCCCTAGAGCTCTCCAGGGAGCGGCAAGCGCCCTGCAGTGACCTTGGCCGGAGAGATTTGCTACTCCAACCAACCACACCTCCTACCGGTTTTACCCCTACAAAGAGTGATCTTGTGAGCTCACTGCAAGACACAGGCAATACGGCTTTGGGGGTGCAGTGCACAAGGAGTTGCAGTAGGTCTGCACACACAAGTCATCTTCCAGCAGCCAGGGAACTGCATGTGGAGAAGGATGAGCCTGTAGGCAGGGAGGAAGGTGGCCTAGTGACCAGAAGGTTTGGAGAGGAGAAGGGAGGAGAGGAGGAAGGAAAAAGAAAGAAAAAGAAAGAAAGATTATCAGATCATATCATATAGAGGGAAGAAATGACAAAGTGGCTTTCAAAGTGCTCTGGCATTGCACTCGCTGTAGCCTGGTGAGTTAGAGGCAGAACACACCACTAACGTCCCTTCAGTGCAAATTCAGACCTTACCAAATACTGCCAACTCACCCGGTTATATGATGGTGTACTTACTTTAAATTCTCTTGGCATTTAACATATGCTTAGAAACCCCGGTAAAAATCGTTGCTTACGTTTAAAAAAAAAAAAATCAAATTCATTTTGTAGTTCCACTTCCCATCCATTTCAAAATAACCACCCGGCAATGCAGTCTCTAATCACATCAATGAGTCTTACCTCTTGTTTAGCCTGTTTTCATACAATTGTTTGGGGAAAGCACGCTCTTTAGCTCATATGCAGCAGGTTACCCATCTGTGAATTGGTCCTGAGACGGGCTGATGGTGCTCACCTGCTAACGAGATAAGATCATAATGTGCTACCAAGACGTGAAATGAGCAGCAAGAGTTTACTACCTGCATATTCTGTAACTTTATTACCTGCGATGAATAGCAAGTCTAGATAAATAAGCGTGCACTCCTTTTTCCAGAAAAATTGGCTTTATCTTTTGCCTGGCAGCTATAAGCCCTACTTTTAATTTACTCTTTTTCTTATTCACTTTTTGATGTAACAGTTCAATGAGGGTTTAAATTCCTTTCCCCATGCAGCCCTTTTATCATGCTTCTAATTACCTAGCCTAATTGCTCTGAACCGGTACGAGCCCGTGCATTTTTAAATGGTTTTCTTTAATTACAATTCTTTACGGAAGAAAATGTCACTGAAATACATCTTACTAAAACAAAAAAGACCACTGAAATACATCTTCCAACCTCTCGAAAACGCAAAGCCATTATACAGAAAACCCATTATATATTTAACACACTTTGTCTTCACTCTGCTTGTTCACAAAACCATGTAGCATCACATAAAAAAAAAGGCTAAAAAAATACCCCAAATATTAAAACAATTGAGCAAAATCATAGAAAATAAAAATAGTAACGTACGTATTTGAGTTGAGCATGGAGAGAGAACTACTAGAACTACAAAAACTGCGTCCTTTATTTAGATGAGGAGTATGTGTGTATATAATATTCTCTAAAGAGCAAAAACTGCTCCAAATCTAACTGCCAGTGTTCTTAAACTTTGAAATGAAAATGCCATCCTCTGGGGGTGAACAATGTCTTTATTATGTCAAAAGATATATTAGAATATGTATTAAGAGTCTATGGGTGTTGTACTGGTACTGTACAAGATACCTGACATTTCCAAATTGGGCACAATGGATGAAGACGTACCAACTGCTTAGTTTAGTACTTGTATATGAGCAGAAACGTAACATGTTTTGATTGTTAATCTATGCTATATTAATAATTCTGCAACCAAATTTCAGCAGTGGGAAATTCACAAAGGACAGTAAGGGAACTGCAATTGTAATTTAAGTTGACGTTACAGGAACTTGCCCGTAAGATACAGGTTACTGAGAAAAATAAAGCATTTCTAAACATTAACATTTTATTTAATATATCACATTCAATACAGTGATACAGAGAGATGCCTTGTACTGAATTTCCATAACTCTTAAGACTTGTGTTCTGGAAATTTGGTAATGCAAAACTATTTATATTGTGATTTTGAAAATAGAAATACTTCTAACCAAACAAATATGTTGTTTATTTAAATTTTTAAATGAACCAAGATATTGTCCTTTTAAATAATCCTAGATATTGTCTGAGACTATTCCAGTATAAATGCCCAAAAGGGAACAATCATTTATTTGCTTAATGGTACAAGGAAATTAAAGTCTGACGACCAATGCATCTTTATGTAGATGTCTTGTAGATGCCTTGCAGGGCACCAACACAAAAGATAAAATATTTTCTAGGGTATTTTTTCTGCCAGTGATCTATATCACAGCTACTATAGGAAAAAAATGAATGTTACTCCTCATTGATACTCTTTACAATTAAATTAATTTCTCAGCAGTATATTAATTAGGCAACAAGAGTGGTCTAGAAATCTCTGATACTTACAAATGAGATAAGGAATTTATTATATCGCCTCTCCTAACTCAACATAAAATCACATCAGATAAAATTGCCTGTCTGATACAAGAAACATCCATTGCTGCTGTTAGGTCTGCGAAAGGTAGCTTGGCTAATACCGAATGACGAGCACTTGCAAAGTTTACTTGCAAAGAACATCCTTTTCTGTCTTCTCTAATGACCCGGTCACAACCTACCCATCGAGGGACAAATTACACGCTCTGCAAACTGTTCCTAGGTGAGTAAAGCCACAAACGTGCTGGGAAGGAGTCTGGC